ACTAATCATCATCGTCAGAGCTGGTGCAGAGCTCAAAGGGATCCTATAGAATGTCGAGCCCAGGCCCTGTAGTGCTTAAGTTGCATCCAATTTACCGTGTCATCAAGTTGCATCTCTATAATGCTTAATAGGGTTTTCAAGGTATGTGAGATATTCAAGGAGCGATTTTATCTCTTCAACCACAGTGAGTTTCTGTGGCTGAAAAGATATGTGAATCCAGGTTTTCTGAGTCCCAGTCCATTATTCTACCCGCTATACCAAACTGGCTCTCTATGAAATAATATATAAATTATATATTTATAATATGTATATTTTAAGTGGTGCCTCACGGGACGAAAAACCCGCAAGACGAATGTTTTTTGCGATCACTGTGGTGCCTTGCAAGATGGCTTCTTCCATGGCCGTGCTTCAGAAGACGATTTCCCCCCCAAACCAATGCCGCGCAAGACGAAAAAAATTCATTCGTCTTGCGAGGTTCCCATAGGAATGAATTGCAATGCATTCCTATGGGAGTTCGCTTCTTGCCAGACAAAAATTTTGCAAGACAGTTCTACTTGCGGAATCAGGCGCCACTGTATAAATAACTTGCCCTGCAAATAAGCTTCCCTCACCACTGAATAACTGCACAAGTTTGGGTAAAGGGTGATTTTAAGACTTCTTTCTAGATAGGCTTGTAACCTAGACTGTCTACAAATAAGGCAAAAGTACTGGAAAACAGGAAGGAGGTACAAACAGAAGCTGCCAACAGCTAGATCCTTGTAAAATTCCATGGATGAAGCAGGACAGTTGGACAGTAGAAGTGCTGCCTGAAAGTCCTGTCTGTTTTTAAAGTAAAAAATTAAACGGCTCTGGGGATTATTTTGTAGCCATAGCTATATAGAAAACAGAGTGATGTGGATGAGCCTTGCCCTGTGCCCCTCTTCTCAGCACTATAAGATAGGGTTCTCATGGCAAAGCTATCACCTCAAATGAATGAAAGAGAAAAGTCAGCTGTATTCAGTCTAGTGCCATTCTGGACGTAATGACAAAGAAATACTTACTGAAAGGCATTCAGGATTGGGAGGGGGGAATAGCAACACTGAAGAGCTTTTAAATCAGCTCTTCCTGGAATCCATGGGGGTCAGCCATGTGGGGAAAAAGTTCTAAGTAAGCAGAGCTTAAACAGATGTTGCCTGGTTCAGCTCTGCTTGTCCAGGATGAGAGAACTAGAGAGAAGTTACAGGCAGAGCTAAACCGGGAAATGGACTAAAAGCAGTAAGGAGGAAGGTGAAACAAGATTGGGGCAGGAGCCAAAAACAAAATGTGAATGAAATATATGGAAGAGAATACTGTAGAAGAAAGCACAGATGGAGGGAAAAAAACAAGGTGAATGAAGGATTCCCTGGGCAAGGAGCAAAAAGCTTACAAGCTGAAACTCCCAGCTATGCAGAACATCTGCCGAGAGACCTCTTGGTTCTTTCCAGAAGCATTATTAAGTAACAAGATGCCCTACATGCAGCCAACCAAGGGCAAAGACGTCTTCCTCCAAGAACTGCAATTTCCTAGTTCCACTCTGGTGTTAAACGTGGTGTGGGCCAAAGCCTTATCTTGCTAAAACAATGAAGTCTTTGTGCAGAGGAAAACGGGAACGGCAAGGGCTAAAATTATGCAGGATAGAGTACTTTGTTTCCTTCAAACGTGCCCTCAGGAGAGAAGATGGAAATTAAAATCTTTTCTGTTGTCTGAATTGAAGGAGCTTCCCAAATGTGTCAAAAGCATACTGGAGGGAATCTATTTCTCAATCCCACTTTCACCAGACCTTGTAGCTTTTTAGACTTGCTGTTACTCTTCGGTCACCATTTGTGGGACAAATTCTTTTTCTTGATCACTGCTCAGACGTGTTGCTGATTTGTCAATGCTAAGGATAGACAGGCAAGAAGTAGATTTTCTGGGCGTATTATGTTTTTCTGTCTGAGTGAGATTTTTCTGGGAGCTAGAGCCAGACACAGTGCTCACATGTCAAGATTTTTAAAATAATCTAAATGTCTAAAAACCATCTACTGTATGTAACGTACGGAGGCATAAAAACTCTTGTGGCAGTTCTCTTGGACGTTATAGGAAATATCTGTTTGGTTTGATCTCCCTAGCAGAAGGATAACAAAGCCTCAGGGTGGATATTTGCATAAGTCTGACAGAAGCATAATGTGCTAAAAGTAACAATGCTACCTGTAGTATGTTATTTTTGAATGTCATACAAATACAGAATAACTGTTTTTGAAAGAAAACAATAACATAACGATGGGCAACATTTTTACTTTTTAGTAACTCATAATCAGTCGCTTTGAAGGAACATTGGGGGCATTTTTATTTTGTAAGTGATTTTTTAAAAATGTTGTTGAAAATCAAATTTAAAACAATGCACTATTCTCTAAGTAATTAACAGATATGATAAGTTACTTTTGGGAACCAAAAGGAAAAAAGTAATTTGGTACTTCTGAAAAATAAAATTTCAACCTCTGGACAGATAATAATCAAACATGACATATCATTGTAGCAGTTAATGATGATGTATCCATTGCATAGATTTGATGAAGTTTTTGCAGAGAAGCATGATGCCAGTATATTTTGGGTTGTGTGTAACTGCACAAATGTGGTACAGCTTAATGTGCTAAAATTGCATTTTTATCTTATGGTACATCCAAACCCAAATTGCTCAGCCGTTGTTGTATGGAAATGCAGGCAGAGTCCGACCACTCAATAGTGTACCGCTGTTAAGAAAGGCAGATTTCTCTATTAACATATTGTGTTTCAAATGGGACATTGTGATCCTTCCTCCCTCCTTCTCCAAGAAAAACCTCTCTGGTTCAAGTTGTAGACTCTCAATGCTTTAACAGGTGCTTCCAACATTTCACTGACTTCACACTGTTAAACCTTGGCTCCTCCTATATTCAAGACTACAGTACCAAAATCACTCACCTCTCTTTGGTGCTTTTGACCACATGACCCTCCTCCTTCAATTCCTGGATTGGCTTCATGCCCAGTGATCACAAACTATTGATCCTTACCTTCAAAGCCCTCTATGAAACATGGGAGGTTGCTTTGTATCAAGTCAGACCACTAGCCTCTCTAGCATGGAAAAACTAGGGATACAAGACGGTGTTTGCAGTTCACATGAAGACCACACATTGCCTGTCCTTCCTCTACACCAGTGGTCCCCAACCTTGGGCCTCCAGATGTTCTTGGACTTCATCTCCCAGAAATCCTGGCCAGTAGAGGTAGTGGTGAAGGCTTCTGGGAGTTGTAGTCCAAGAACATCTGGAGGCCCAGGGTTGAGGACCACTGCTCTACACTAAGTAGAATTGTAGAGAAAGCAGTAGATAAGACAGGTGATATTTCCAGCTGGATCTGAAACCAAAACCTTCAAGAGCTTTATATGCTTTTGAAAGCTTATAGAGCCATTTCTGGGTTCAGTGGAAACTGCTTTGCAAATGGAAGCTTTGCAAATAGTTGGAAATTACAACTTATGTCTGAAATATAAGTATGCACAGCATTTTTGGTGTTCCATCATGGCAGCGCCATCCATGGTCTTTTCCATCCGTTCTGTTTCAGCAGGTGTGTAAGGTGTTCTTGATTTACTTCTTTTCCTTTCTGTAGACTCTGGAGCATGAGCTTAGAAAAACAGATGGCATGAATTTGTCCAGGAACCATTTTAAAGGGAGCAGACAGAAGGAAAGGGGCAAATGAAGGCCACTTCATACATTATAGCTTGTGTGCAGAGGTTGCAAAAAAAAACAAAACAAAAACAAAAACACCTGTCTGGCAAATTTCCACATAGAAGCAATAATATTTGTAAGCTTCTTACCACACAGGCTGGCCTAATTACAGGGTTGCCACCTGCAAAACATTGGTAGGCAGATTTATTTATTTATTCATCTATTCTTGCGATTTCTGTGTAGATTTTAATAAGGGGGGTTTCCCACTGTCTAGAGCTGGGGTAGCTGTCATGGAGGCTGCTGTAGATTCATAAGCAAACAGATGTTGGAGGAGCAGTATTCATTTGAAGAAATAGCATGGAAGGCACTGGTTTGGTATGGTGCAGGATTTTGTTTGTTTTTAATCTATCCCACCTGGACTATTTTATTGCCCATGCCAGTCTGAGATCTTCACTGGACAAGAGTAAAATTAAGGAGACAGGAAGAAACAGAACATGAGAACTCTTACGGCCTCACAGAGCAGATCATGTAGAGCTGCACAATGAGACTGAGGAGAGTTGAAAAGGGCAGATGTTAGAGCAATGGTTCCCAACTTTGGGACCCCATATGTCCTTGGACAAAAACCACCAGAAGCCTTCACCACTAGCTATGCTGGCTGGGATTTCTGGGAGTTGTAGTCCAAGAACATCTGGGGATCCAATATTGGGAAGCAGTGCTAGAGGTTTGGAAAGTGGGGGTTTGTAAAAGAAAATGGACATGAGACTTGAGGAGCCATAAATGTCCTAGAGTTTTGGACCCCTACTCCATGTCTTGTTACTGGCGGTGGCTTGGTTGTGGGGCTCTTGGGCAAACTGGTGTTAGGGGTACATGGAGCACAGCTCACAGGGATGTGTATATGGACAACTAATACAGTTCAGTCCCACTAGCCAGGCCCAAGACAATCACTCCAGCCTCATCCTTGCTCTGTCCTCGTATATTGTAGCTTAGAGGCTTTCTCTTTTCCCTCCTCCTGACAGACAGATACTTACGTAGTTACTCTGACAGACATCAGGTTAAGCACATCAGCTGCCCTCCCTGAATAGATTGTTTTGTTTTCCCAACAAGCCAGGCAGCTAGAATGAAATGGGAAGGAAACTGTGTGGCATTTCTAGTGACAAGAGCCTGTTCTTTGAAGGCCTTTGATTCTTTAGGGCTTCACTTTTAGACCTAAACAGTCCCTCATCAGCTGCAGACAGAGCTTTGACTGTTCAGAACAGCACAGACTGAAAGAAGTCTCTTAATAGCACGTTAACCTCCAATTCCTTTTAGGTTAGGATTTTAAACAAGAAGATTGATTTTAGCGATGTTCAACCCAGATGTGGTTCCAAGGATAACATCAAACATTCGGCAGGGGGAGGAAATGTAAGTAGAGATGGTGCCTAGCCAGCTATGGTGACCCCACTCTGCACAACCTAGCCCTTTTGTCTCCCTACTGAGCACTGGTTCCTTTCTTGCTAATGTCTCACATGTCACCTTGGTCTAGTGATGTGTCAGCCTTGTGTGGTGAGTAGTAGATCTCTCCATCCTTCCTCACAGACCACAGCAAATTTCCTGGTCTTGGTCCACAATCACCCAAAACCTCAAAGGAAAACAAGTCTAGAAGACTTTGACATCTGACAGGATATTAAGGATGGCAGTACAGTAACAGGTGATTAGGCTACCAGCCTCATTTTCCACTGACTTTGGAGGTAAGGCTGGCAATATGCATTTTGCTCAGAAGTAATCATTCACAATTACTAATTAATTTCTCCCTAGGTAGCAGTCATAGGTACATTAGGACTCCCATATCTGCGGGAGATCGGTTCCAAGCCCTGCTGCAGATGCTGAAAACTGTGAATAACAGTGAAAGTTATATATAGCATAATGAAAGAAAGAAATCCAGAAAAAATATTTTAACATGCATTACCAGAACTTGTCACTAGAGGGTACCAGAATTCATAGCATGGTCTGTGGCTCTCTCTAATGGCCAGTTTTGGTAATACATGTGAAAAAAAAATTCCCTGGATTTTTTTTAAAAATAGATATTTTAAATATTTTCTGACAGGATAAGTGAAACTGCAGGTAATGATCCCATGGATGCAGGATCTTACTGTATTGAAAGTAGCAAAGCAAGAGCAGATGTATATAATTTCTTCCATCAGGATGAAATTATACTTTACAGGGAAAGTTTAATGGAGCTAGAGCCAACAGGTGAGCCAGTGGCCCCAGTACATGCTCGACTATTTGGGCAATCTTTTTCCAGCATGCTATATGTCAGTGAAACTCCTATTGGAGACTTACATCAGTATTAAGTGTTATGGCATAAATTGTCATGGCAAACTGTGCCTAGTTGCCTTCTTGGTAAACTGCAATCTGCCACTGTGATTAATTTATGCCACTATGTCAGTGTGAATCCACAGCAGAATTCTGGATTTTGCAACTCAAAGCAGATAAGAAGAGAGAACATCCTGGGAATCTTAGGTAAAAGAGAAATAGAGGGGGGGAGGGGGAATCATAGAGGCCTCAACACACAGCACTGAATTAAACTTCCACTTAAATCATTTTACAAAATAACCTTACTTATTTTCCTGATTCACAGTTGGCACTTCACTAATGAAAAGCCTTTTAACATGGTTCTGCTAAGTTAATTCTTCAAATGGGAAGCTTGCTGTATTAATCTGGGTGTTTCCCTTCATTGTGGCATGATTGTATTCTTCTAATCATTCTCTTCTCTTGCAGTATTTTTCAAAGTCTGGGTGCATTCCCTTTTTAGTTTATTTTCTTGTTTATAGCATACACTTTTCATATTTTTAACAGGTGCAGATTGTAACCAAGAAGATAGACTTGAGCCATGTGACCTCCAAATGTGGTTCACTGAAGAATATCCGTCATCGACCAGGTACGATTGCACTTGTCTAAACGGGGAACAGAGTTCTGCAAAGAGCCCAGGGACATATCGTTTCCAGGATGCCTGATCTCTATAATTACTTGGGCACCTGGGGAAAAATTACATCTCCACTATCCTGCCATTGCCCCATGGGAGGGAGACCGGGAGGGAGGCCTACAGCCAGACCTGCCTGGGAAGTGAGAAGAACAGGGAAGAAGGCAGCTACAGGAGGCCTTCTGCTGCTATTCAGCTTTTTATGTCACTGGAAACCTGGCAAGATCTGGATTTCAGGAGTGAACTCAAGAGAAAAAAAAAGTACTTATTTATTTTTAAATGATTCTGTTTAGGTCCAGTTCTGAATCCAGCTAGAGGGGTTTCCCCACCATCCATTTCAAACTGCTACCATAGGCTATTCTGCTACTAAGGTTGATCTATCAGCACCAGTCATAAAATGCCCCTAGAAGACTTTGTTGAAATCCTTCCCGATTTACACTCTCCCTACACTTCCATCCCCCTCTCATAGAAAAAAATCTGCTATTTGTAGCACTTTGAGTACCTGAATCAAGTGTGTAGTCATGGCAGAGGACTCTCAGTATGATTTTTTTGTCTACAGCAGGTGTGACTGCATTCAGTCCAGTTCATTAGCAAATGTACCCTAGAAAAGAAAATCAAATAATAGACTTGGGGAAAGGTATTAACCATGGCACCATTTACAAGTATATCAATTGTGCCTTTATTTTAAATAAAGCAACACTGTTTCTGTAAGTTATGAATGCCAGTAATACCCTACAATGTAAAATTACATAAGCTTAAAAGAGCAGCATATAGGATCTAATTCACCCCATATGTAACAACAATATAAAACAATGATTATGTCATTAATATCTATCTATCTATCTATCTATCTATCTATCTATCTATCATCAGTGGTACATAAGAAACCACAAACAGGAAAATTTTGCACCTTTTCTTAGTCTTATTTTTCTCCAATAAATAATAGGTGGGGGACGAGTGAAAATAGAGAGTGTGAAACTGGATTTTAAAGAAAAGGCCCATGCCAAGGTTGGTTCGCTTGAAAATGCTCACCATGTACCTGGAGGAGGTCATGTTAAGGTAAGCCTTCCTGCATAATAACACATTCACTCTGTGAAGTATCCATGAAAATAAACACATTCACTCTGTGAAGTATCCATGAACCTATGAATATCCTGAATCTAGATGGATTTAGGTAATCTTAGTCCCCTTGAAATCAACAAAACAATATATCTAGCCTGTTGTTGTTTCTGTTGTTGTTAATGAATATCCTGAATCTAGATGGATTTAGGTAATCTTAGTCCCCTTGAAATCAACAAAACAATATATCTAGCCTGTTGTTGTTTCATGATAACAAGTCACCTCCAGCTTAACAGTGACCCTATGAATGAGTGACTTTCAAATGTCCTGTCCCTGCTCAACGCTTGCAATCCCAAGGCTTTGATCCATCACTAGTACATTACTTTTAACCTAAATTCGTATTAGATGTGTAAGCTTCATCTGGGTTACCAGCACCTTCACCTCCTCCCCAGTATTGTTTATTTCCACCTGTACTCTTTGTACCCCCATTTCTTTTTCCTCACAGTGGTTTTTCTATCTCCACCCTTCTTTTCCTCACTCCACATATACCAAGCAGCAGTACTTCTTAGCCTGCACTCTGTTTCTCTTGTTCTGGACCCTATGGAGGGAAATAATATGTGACATTCTCTAGAGACCTTGTCAAGAAACGAATTTCCCAGGCAAAAATGTTGAAATAGAGGCTCCCCTACTTTGGGCACATCATGAGAAGGCAGGATTCTCTGGAAAAGACAATAATTCTGGGAAAGGTTGAAGACAGCAGGAAAAAAGGAAGACAAAAATACAAGATGTACTGCCTTTCTAAAGGAAGCCACAAGCTTGAGTTTACAATTGCTGAGCAGGGCAGTTGAACACAGGACATTTTGGAGATCACTCATTGATAGGGTTGCCATAGGTCTGAGGTGACTTGATTGCACATCATAACAACAACAACAGGCTTGCTCGTATCTAGGGTAGATTAAGGACACCTTGTGCCTAAAGATGGTACTGATGTCTACAGATTTTTAATTGACTAAAATTGATCTATTAATCTATTAAACAAAATAACTCAAAAGGCACATCCCCTGAATCCCTACAGTATCACACTAGGTTTCTTGGTCTTGGAATTATACCAGAGGTGAACAGAAAGACAGAGGGAGAAGCAAGCAAACTATTTGATAATTAAACATTTCTTAGACTCTGCACAAACAAGGCTTAGCACAATCCAATTTTAAACCTCTACAGCCAGCCAGTCAGTAGCTAAAACAGGAGCCAGGCAATTAGCTGCATGGAAATGCTTATGTGATCACTGAGATGAAAAGGCTAAATAGCAACTCATGTTATGTGGTCACCTATGAAAGACTTTTAAAGCAAGTAGAAATGTGTAATGGCAACAAATTCCACTACTAATTAGTCTCTGGGATGAGTTTTGAAAATTAAAGACACCCCCTTTCCACAGGCCAAAGGATTCCCTGTGACAAAGCAGATCCCATGGGTGAATGATCCCTTTGGGGAGCGGAGGGATTGGTTTCCTATGCTATTCATGGAAGTAGCAACTAGGGGTATTCAGATGTTACCCCTTTAATGTGTCCAGTTGGCTAAGGAAAATTCAGAGCCAACCAAGAAAGGCCAAACAATGCTAAATGCCACTGGCTCATGGTACAGCAGATGCAAACATTTTTGCCCTGTTTAGTCCAGGAAATTCAGGGGTGCTTGATAATTAGCATCAAAGTGAGCAGGCCCAGAAAGATGCAAGCTTATAAAAATAGATGGCTGGGTATATCTGTGAAAACTCAAAATATAAATGCCTTGGGGGCCCCGTCACCAATGTTAACAACTGTTATTCCCACTAAACTGAGATTAAGTTTTATTGAAACCACCGGGGCTTTCCTTCTGAATATTTAAATAGAAAAATACTCCGTAAGTATACCTTCCCCATGTAGGGTCATTGATGGTTATGGGTAGAGAAAGGCACGAACTGAAGATTAATATGTCTCCAATCTGCCCTTCAGTTTTGACTGAAGAGAAAGTCAGTGTGGATTTGCAAGGTATCAGTCTGACATGATGGATTCATTTTGCCTTTGAATTTTGACTGAAGAGAGGTGGAGGTAAATTTGGAGTATTACCAGGGTAAACATCTGTAGCTCTTTAAAAGGAATTGAACATCAGTATTTCTCGGGGGACGTTTCAAGAATGCTTTAAAAATTATTTTTAAAAATTCAGCTATAAACACATCCGTGCAATTCAAATGACAGAATAAGAAACAACACATAATTCATTACAAAATTGACAAAATCAAAACAAACAAAAAACCCACAAGAGTTGGCAGCAAGTATTGCAAATAACACCAAACTCCTCATATCAAGATATTGTCCCCCCGTCAGCTGGTGACATCTCTCTGCGTTGGTTGCCTTTCTTTATAAGCCTTCTTTCTTTGCACAGATTGACAGCCAGAAGCTAAACTTCCGGGAGCATGCTAAGGCTCGTGTGGACCACGGAGCTGAGATCATCACACAGTCCCCGGGGAGATCCAGCGTGGCTTCCCCCCGGAGGCTTAGCAACGTTTCATCCTCTGGCAGCATCAACCTGCTCGAATCTCCTCAGCTTGCTACCCTTGCTGAAGATGTCACTGCAGCCCTAGCTAAACAGGGCTTATGAATTTGCTTCCTTGAGCAGTGTTTGAAGTAATAATAATATTTAGGCATGAGCTCTTGCCAGGAATGGGCTCTGAGCAGGTGTTAACATTCATTCTTTACCATGTCTAAAATTAAGTCACATCCCAAGACTGTAGTAACCGTAAATAAATAAATAAATAAAAACCTGGGGGAAAGATATTTATAGATGCAGAAATTGGCCTGATTTTCCATTTACAGCAGGAAGGCACTGGCTTTTATGTGGGTACAATTGCAGTATATTACATTGGACAATTCTTGTTGCTCTGCTCTGTCTTGCATGGAGTACTCTACTATGGTACAATGCATTTTTACCTTTCCTGTGCCTGAAGGCCATCCACCACTTTTTTGAAGAGCCTTGTTAAATACCTTGAATTGCTCATTTTACAGTTTTGTTGATGGATGGAGTTAAGGAACATCTCCCATTGTAATTTATGAACGGGTTAAATCAAAGTGGACAGCAGCAGTATCAGACAGGAAAGCAAATAAAGATGTCAAAAGTTTCAAAAGGGTGCACGTGGGTGGGGTTATTTTATATAAATAGGTAGAAGAAAGACGCAATTAAGTTATTAACGTTGTTGAACTTGGATGATTATGTCAGTGTATAGCTGATTCCATAAATTATTTAACTAACTGTTAAAGAAAGTAGCTGGTGTGGGGCTGCAGGGGGGCGGAATCACATGAACGGTGTTAGGAACTGGCATTTTTCTTTTTTAAAAGCAGCTACTGAAACTAAGCAATGGAATTTTGTCCGATTAGAATGTTGGTTAAGCAGCTAGGTTTGTGTCTACACTACTGGTTTCACATCTTTTCCATCTGTTTGATACAGTATTATAGATATATATTTCTCCGTGGCCATTTGTGATACGCCCTCACATACTTGAATATTCTACTTCTTTATTCACAGTATCTGTGTCTCTTGCACCCTTTGGTGTTGCAATTTTAGGTATGTAAAAGTAGATGTTAGCAGGGTTTTTAATTTCCCTATTCAGACTTTAAAAGATACAAAAAAAAGACAAAGATCTTTCAGCATGAAATTGCTTTTATGTAACATCTCAAAACTGTGACCCTGTTTTCGTGCCAGATGCAAGTCTCTTCTGTGGTACTAGAAGAATTATTCTCCCTTCTTTCTCCTGCCTTTTTCATTCTCGTTTTCTTCACTACAACTGACTTTGTGGTGTCCAGATTATTTGTAAACAAAGAGACCTGGTTTCCAGAGAGGTAGTTTCGGATTCTAGATTTCGAAAGATAAACTTTAAAACCATGGTTGTGTCCTGGCTTAAAAAACAAAATCCTGCAGTAAAAGTGAAATTTAAAGTTCTTTATTTATTCTTTTGCTAAAGTTGAAATTCCAAGAAACAGGGACCTTTTAACGGAAGTCATTCTATGCCTTCAGTGGCATGTTTGTGAAGAAGAACGATGCTTTCTTGAGAGATGCATGCATAATGCATGTTTATTACTGGTAAAATAATTAAATAACTACCCTTTATAGCATCACCAAGGTGATGGAATGGATAAATAAATCTGCAGAAAGAATATGTTGAATATAAGACTATAAAAAGTATACCCTGAGTGAGTATAGTAAGACAAAAATAAAACAAGACAAGACAGAGACAGCTAAACATTAGAACAACTAGAGTCTACAGGATTTCCACCACTACCCACAAGGACACGTAACAGAATATTGGAAGTGTATGGTACTATGACTCATAAGTGGACAGTAGTCTACTCATGTTATATATGCTAGCTTTGACTAGATAATTAAATTTCAGCCTGCAGATTAATTATTCTTTTCCTTAAAACCACCTATATTACATTTCCATGTCCTCAAGCTGAAGCATACATGAATGGTTCAATATGATGGCTTTGTGTGTTGAATAAAACTTGAAAAGGGCTACCTCTTAAGCATCTTAATTTACCTGGTCTGCATCTAAGACTGAGGGCTAAATAATTTTCAAGGAAGGAAAACATCAATAGAAGACTAACAAATTTATTGTAGCATAAGCCTTCATTACATGCACAGATCTGCCGATTAGAGATACTACTTGTTAGATGTACAGATCTGACACTGAATACCAGAACTGGTTTATCATGCTATGGAATTCCATACTATTAAATCAATCTCTAAATTTGTTTAAAGCTTTCTAAGTGATGTTGTAAATGGATAGGAACAGATACATTTTCAGCATAGTATACTGTAGATCTAGTTCCAATCGTACAGGGTGAAATAAAGCTTAAATTCTCTGGCACACAATGTCTCTTAAAATCCGTTTCATATTATAAAATGCCTCATATGCAGTTTATAATGCAGTGGTATGGTTAATAAAAAGGTTAGTTTAGAATCTAAAGTGTGTCAGGAGGGTTGTTCTGCCCTGTGGTTGCTGTGATGTTGCTTAGAATAATCATGTGATGTGCAAATGCACGCATTAAGAAGAGCCCAGTGATTCCCATATAGTGGGAGGCCTTGCCACTGCTTCAGGAAGGAAGGGCAAGAAAAGCAAAAGAGCAGCATTTTTAATAAAATGTTGTCACACTGACTCTGTGCTATGGGTTCTTGCAGATTTAGCCTCTCTGTGTTTTTATGTCTTTCTTCCAATCTTAGAGCAAGAGAGCGCCCAAGGTACTGCTGAACCTCACCTGGACTGATGCTGAGGGTCAGGCAGTCAGAACAGTGTTTAATCTGTGACTATTTTGTATTCTGCTTTTTTTGGGGATATAAACACATTCTAGATGGTGAAGTTATTTATTGAGTATACGTGTCCAAAGCCACCGAGTCATTAATTCCATGCTGCAAATTTATCCTACTCATCTGAAAGCTAAGTCCTTGTAATCGATCATCATCTTTCCATGGAAGGAATTGCAGACTTTAACAAAGTCATAGAAGTTGAAGAGCCAGCAGGAAGACCTCGTTGTAATGTAAGAAATGCGTACACTATGTTACAGGACTCTAGATTTTGCAGGGAGGTGAGGGTGTGAGGAGCAGAAGCACGTGTCAAGAAAAGATAACAAAACTTTAACTTCTCAGATGTAGGTTTCATTTAAAGACTAATGGCCTCATTCAGTGAGAAGATCTCTTACTCAAGCCACACAGAAATGAATGCAAGCCACACAAGACTCCCTAAAGCTGGCTATTTCAGCAAAGGAAATTCTGTGCCCCATTTACTTGTGTGGCAAATGAAGACGGGAGAGACACATTCATTTGTCTGGCATTTTAAAGCAAACTTACCAAACTTCACATTTTTGAACCAATACACAAAACAAGCCAGTTACCTTACAAAATGTGTCGTCTTTGCCGATTTGCAAAGAGGTTCTCCACTCCAACCCCCAAGTTGACATACATTTAAAAAAAAACATTCAGGGAGTTCTGGATATACCAAACTTCAAAGGCTAGGGAAATTCTTAAGGTTTTGGACAAACTAAATTTAAGATTGAGAAAGGTCAGAGACTGAAACTGAAGATGACAGTTTTGTCTTTATTAGTACTATTATGTAGTGAGCAGAATGTTGAATGAAAATGTTTAGAACCGACTCAAATAATCCCATCAAAAATAAATCAACTTTGGAAGGTAGGACCCCTCTAATTCTCTCTACCTGTGTAATAGCTGCTTCTGTGCAATCCTAGGCATGAAGAGATAGGAAAAGAGATAGGGAAGCCTTTGCCACCAGCACTCGTCTAAGCTGTTAATTAGAAGATTCCCCACTGCCTACTATGACATTGTGTATAGAACATAAGGCATTAGACACCTAAGAGTGTGCTCATCTACAGCTGCAAACTTTCCCTTAATTAAAGCTGTTTGCAAGTATCTCTGCCTAGTGTGTGTCACCAAAGGATAAAAAAATGTGGACTACCATGTTGTGATACTTATACAAAGTGCTCTTCTGTTGTGCGGCACCCCAGAATCCTTTCCAGAACGCATCAAGTACAAACTCCCTTTGCAATGCAGAGGGAAGAGACTGACCTGAGCCAAGCCGGTAGATTCATCCCTGAGCTGCCAGGCTGAACACAACCCACCAGAGGCTTGACAGGTCTACTGGTTTTGCTGCCTCCAGCTAAATAAGGAAAGAGGAAAGCATGGTTGTAGAGCTCCCAGAAGGGGGCAGTCTTTTGGCTGGTCAGCTTAATTTGTTCACAATTACTGAGGACTAGTCAAGTACTGTACCTGTATTGTGTTAGCTCTTGCTCACTACTAACTCAACTCTCCCTCCCCCAACTGAGAAAATCCATTTAAAAATAGGATAATTATTTTGCAGATCCAGTAAGGACAGGCCTAGCAACCATTTCAACTTTAGCAAAGAGAAATATATCATCTTGAGTGTGCTGGGATTTCCCCCACCCCTTTCCTTTCCTTTTTTAAAGAACACAATTGGTCATTACAAAGCCTGTGCGGTTATTTCTTTTCTTGATGATTCTAGAGCCTGTTATCACGAAAGAGGCATTTCTTGAATGGCTGGTGGTAGGTAGTTCATGTTTTACAATCCAATTTGCAATTGTATTTGTTGCTGTATAGTGTTTGTTTTGCAAAAATAAAATCGCTTGTCATCCAACTATTTCCACTCTACTTTTTTGTAATCCTTCTGCTAGTTCTCTACATATCAGGTAATACTACGGCAAGGCAGGCCATGATTCCTCTGCCTTTGAGGAAGGCTTCCTGAATGTATATCTAGCTGCAGGATTTAGTTACACGGTGGCAACCCTCTACCACTGGAAGACACAGGCTCCAAGAACACAGGCCTATCAAAAATGAAGGCCATGAAGAAAAACTGTCTTCTGGGCCAGGCACCAAGGGTTTATCTCCACATATGTATAGAAATGGTGTGTGTTCCAGTGATGTAATCCTCACCTGATCTATATGTGGGCCCCCATATGCTGTTGCCCTACCTCGTCCCTCAGCCCTAGCCGCTAGGGCCAATGATGAGGGATGCTGGAAGAATCTGTCCAATGACATCTGGGGAGTGGGAGGCAAGACCTGGCTTTTTCCATCTGAATCTTCTCTCTCTCTCTCTCTCTCTCTCTCTCTCTCTCTCTCTCACTCACTCACTCACACTCTCTCTCTCTCTCTCTTTGTGAGACTGTTGATTAGAAAAGTGGAACTTGGACCAGAGGGGTGTTTAATACACTTCTCCTGTGCTGTGTTTCAGAGAGATATATTTCTTAACTACAGCTTCTAAAATCCCAGAGCCAGTTTAGCCACCGCTTAAGTTCTGGGTGGGAAATCAAAGTGATGTCTCTGTGCCTGTTTTGTAAATGTGCAAGAGGCCATCAATTAGTCTTGTAGTTTTACTGTGGTAAAATCAATCAACAGAAGCAGACCAGGAAAAATGGCATAGTTAATTGCCACACTAGTCAGAATTATGAATTAGTGCTTTATGATATATTGAAATCCTTATCTTTATGACTTTTCTTCTGTAAAGATAAGTCTTTTTTTTCAAAATGAGAAGTTAAACCTGCAAACTCTTACTGTTTCCTTTTACACTCATTCAGAGCCCACACCTGCATATTCTAGTGATAAGGGGGTAACAAATACCATCCAGTTCTCATCCTTGACAGAAGGGCAACACATTGAGACACCATGTTGAAAAAATTGTCAATTTCTGTCAGGTTTTTCACTCCTAACAGACCACAGCTTCTTTCAGTCAATAGGAGCATTAGCAAAAAGGGGTGTGTATGGGGGGAAAATCTGCTTTACATTTTTTTAAAAAATTACAAGCTTTCTCCACAAAATCACTTCCCACAATTTTTTGAGTGAGGAGCCTCGTGGCGCAGTGGTTAAACTGCAGGACTGAAGTCAAAACTGCTCACAACCTGAATCTGATCACACAGATTTAGGTAGCCAGCTGAAAGTTGCTGTGGAAGCATAGCAAAGTCATGAAAGCTACTTCTGGGCCTTGGGGGGGGGAAGGGTTAGGGGCGTCTCAGAGGAGATGGTGGTGGGGGGAAGTGCAGTAGACTGAATTGAGAGTGGCTTGGAAATACTGTAAGCCAGTCTGTTCTCTGTTTTAGGAATGGAGGCTTATTTCTGAGCCAGTTCCATCTATTCCAGGAAGTCAACAGTTGAGACAATGGGCCTGAGTGACAAAGAGGTGTGCATTTCCTGCACGTATACTTCTGCCTCAGAGGCCATTCCCAGTTATCAATGGGTTGCCGCCAGAGTGTCAGGGCACTGCCACTCTGCTGCACTACAATTTCTAAGAAAATATCTGATGACTAAAACCATCCACCTCATTTTAATTTTACATGAAAATTATACTTCCCTGAAAGCCATTCTGTGCAAATCTGCTATACGTGTAGTACCTGCTAAGTAAATTGTTTTCTCCATATGCACAGAGATGAAGGTGATCCCTAATTACTGACATGCTGTCTCTGAATTGAAAGTTATGAAAATAAAAGAGAAGGGGAGAGAGAAATTGCTTTTTACCAGTAACAGGTGCTTTGATAAAAGTTTGGCAGTGCAGAGTGCCTATTCTTCAGAGCTGGTGGCCTGAGAACCAGAGATAGGGAATGTTATTTTTATGGACCAAAACACCCAAAATACCTCCATCAGCATGACCGCTGCTTGAGAACATGTGATATTAATCATACATATATGTATCCCTATTACCAAGGTCATGTGAAGGTGAATTTATTTATTAGATTTTGATTCTGCCCATCTAGACCAAAGGTCTACTCTGGGTGGTTAAAGGGGTTGTTGGGAAGAATTAGTAGGGGTCTTGTCCCTGTGCCTGCCATATCTCAAGTTGTTCCCTTTGCCCCTCCTTCAGGTTTATTTGAAGCTCTGAAGCCATATGGGATGAGCTTTTTAAAAAAAGTTAGAAAGGTTTTTAGAAGATAATAGGTGAATGCAAGAAGATGCCCTCCAAGCCTGACCATGCTTCCCAATCAATATTCATTGCCTCTCCCACTATTAGTATTATGAGGTCACAATAAATAAATCGAATGAATAGGGACAGGAACCAGCAGTTTGCCTCATAATTTATGATTCTGCCCTCTATGTTTTGTACTGTGGGCTGATGACAAATGTAAAACAGCAAAAATAAAAGGCATTAATTATGTTATGATTGCAAAGTAAAAATACAATGGGCCATGTTTACTCGAAGAACAGAAGAAATACTGAAGAAATGTCTAGGGTGCAGCTTTGCAATCACAAACAATTTGGATGTTGCACCTGATTTATATGCCCTAATAGGTGTATGCCTCCACTAAAGACTGCCAGTGAATTCCTGGAGGACAGCATCAGGCAAGCCTTAAACCCTCTTGCTTTGGAAAGTATGGATAGAAATGCCCTTGGCACACCTCTAGAAGAGGAACAAATGCATTTTAAGGAATGAGTTAACATGATTCAGAGAGCCATTTAAATGCTAATCTCAGAGGTCTATGCTGCTTTAAGTAACAAAGTGATAGGGCGTCTTAAAGATTATAAAAGCAGTAAAAAAAAGGTGTTGATTTTTTTTAAAAAAATCCAAGATTTTGTATCTTTCCTCACAGTAAAAGTAAACTTGTCAGCATAGAAAGAAAGAAAATCTCATGGTGCTTTTTTTGTATTGGAAACCGATGAGGAACAGAAAATGCTAGAAGTAATTAGTACATTTAGACAAGCTAGGCTTTATAACAGATGTAGCCCTAAATCAATTGTTTCAAGATAACATACTGATTTAAAGGATGTCTCCTTGCCATCCAAGGTAAGAGCTAGGGTGACCAAATAGATAGACAGGCTTCTCATTGGTGGTGCTATTGCGAAATCTAACTGGTGCCTGCCTTTTAATACTTTTGGCAATAGAGAAAAATGTTTTTACTCCCCCAGGTTTTAAACATGCATTTTGTTTTATTTGGTGTATACACTGTTACATATTAGTTGTGAATCTCACCACCAAGTTAACAAGCTAACAAAGAAACCCAAACTTCTGGGTCTGTCAGAGAATGGAAACAAACATAAATCCTTATGTACGCACCTTCTATTACCCATCAGTATAACTTTTCCCATATTCTCTAGCACTGCCTCCGGAAGTATCAGGCAAGACAGAAGGAGGAGGGTGGGAAGGAGAAGACGCCACTGCTTCCGTGGAAGGGAAGTGCACAGCATCCTGCAGCAGCAGGATGTCAACCTCATGAGCTGGAAGCTAGACGTAGCAGACAACAGAGCTTTGGATGAAGCAGGTCTTGACAGAGAACATGTGGGAGTATTTTTCTGGATCTGTCATATCAATGTCTGTGAGCTTGATACCTAGATATTGATCCACAGAGTGCAGAGTCCCACATATACAGTATACTCAAGTGATCATTCTACTCAGCCACCACACCCTTCCCTACCAGGGACCAGGAGTAGAAGAGTATAGCAGCTGTTCCCAACCACAATAGCGAAAACTCCATGTGAAGACCTGAAAACCAATAAAAGCTTGTGAATGTAATCCTTCTTTTATAAACAGCCCAGTAAACTTCACCAAAGAAGAACTTCACCAAACACAAATTTACAATAGCATTCATGTATGCTTTATGTTATTGTTCATCTTTTTAAAAAAGGGATCCCATGTTTATATAGCTAGCCTCCAATAAGCATTAACATCTGCTGAAACTTTTGTCTGGTCATCATTACAAAAAGCGTGGTCTTAAGGGTTTACTCTTGCATTCCAAGGGGCAGGAAGGAAAGGATAGTCAACAACAGATTTGATGGCTAAAATATGGCCACTATTTTACTTTGTACAGTTACAAGCCTTGGCATTGCATAGGGAACAGAGGCAGACATTGGGTGAACCTTTTCCTATTCAACAAACTGAATTACTCAGCCAAATGACCTAGCTCAGGCAAGGAAGTCCCTGGCGGAAGAGCAAGAAAAGGAGACCAGTATGGTGCAACACAATTTTATTGGCTCAGAAAGATGCACACTAGTGACTATGCTCTAAAGGTGAGTAAAAAGCCCCTAACAAACATAACGACAGACCATTATACCTTAGCTTATCAGTTTCTCATGCTAAACAGCTTGAGGGGCTTCTGGGTGTTGGGTGAGGCCTGGGAGAGAAGGTTTTGACAGCACTGGCCATACTTGACAAGAACGTATTGTTGTCCAAGCCCTGCCAAAGGCCCCTTTTCAAGGTTACAATGGAGGCCCCTCTATCTCTCCTTACAGAATACACAACAGAATTAAGGAATGTCAGAAACATACATGTACGTAGGCATGGCAAGAGGCAACAAATAAAGGAACAATACTCTTGCACTATAAGACACTGGCAGTTTTCTTGGAAAATACATAGCAATGATTTCAGTAATATAGTTTAATAATATGCAGACTAACAATTCCTGCCTCTTCTTTTGTTCATCAATGTGGTCGCTTTTATGGACACGTTGATGAACCCTTAACTCATTTAATAACAACGTGCCCTGAGTCCAGTTCTACCTGTGAGGTGGTTGAGGGTAAGTCAGTAAACACTGAAGAACTCAGTGTGGGGGACGGCTTTGGGAAACACAGAATAAGGAGAAAGTAGCAATAGATATGCATACAAGCAAGCAATAATATAATAATGAGTAAAAGAAATCCAATAAAGAGCTGATGTAACCA